CCCGAGCCAAGAACGACTAGCTTATACTCATGCATGTTGCAAACTTGTAAAACCTAGTACCTCTTGTGCTGTCACCGGGTCCCTGCAGCCAGCGTCGCCTCCTGCTCCCTCCGGGTCGCTGCTCCCAGAGCCACGCGGTCCTGCTGCTACTGCTGCCGCCGCAGATCCAGCTGGTTTACCGAAGCTGAAATTCTTGGACCTGATCAAATTCTGCTTTGTAAAGCCCTTCACCTCAGTGGAGGGTAGTGGCATCCAGACTCAATCTCTCATTTTCTCTGGAGCGTCCCTGCAAGGCAGTGACCAGAAGAATGACTTCTGGCTTCCTTGGGGCCTCCCTGCACAATCTCACCCTTATTGCTCTCTCTCGATTCCGCTACCTCAGTCCCCTGGTACTCACCACTGTCCAGCCATGCTGGTTCATGTTTCTTTAGAGTCCCTTTATATCTGAAATAAGACCAGTGTATAACAAAACATAACTTCTCACTGCAAATATATAGTTTTAATTTTTTTCTCGTTAAACTTTATTTAGAAGTAACTCTGAAAACTTCAGAGGTAAGAATCTCTCCTCTATGGTATAAGGGGAAGAATATGGAGCTAGCAGTCAACCCCAGCTCTGCTCAATCAGTCTGACCTATGAGCAAAGCCCTGAATCTCTTTAGATCTTCCAACCTTCATCTGTAGACAGAAAGAACCAAAATTGATGACCTCTCAACACCTCTCTAACTTCAAACATTCTATTCAGAATAAACTAAACAATGCTCTATATACACTAAGAGAAATTTCATCTTTAAAGGAACTGGAAGTAAATATTTCCAGAAGCAAATAGCTGTTTGTACATTTTCAAAGATATGTCAGACATAGCTGTGTTAAAGCTTTTTCTGGAATGAAGCTCAGAGCAAATTTAATATTTAATCACTAATGATAAATTAACTCTAATTTTTAGCATACAGTTTACATAGTTTTTGATCTTTTATTTTTATTTTGATAATCTTAGTTTTCTTTTAAGTATCCTGCCTCAATACTATTTAGGAGTATGTGAAATATAAACTGTAAGGAGGTAACTAAAATATCCTACTAGCTCTGAAGGAAAACTACCTCAGGTTAAAGCTCCTTTACTGTGTGACTTGGAAACAGCAAGTTAATGCATTATTTTAATATTACTGTGAAGAATACAGCCCTCAAAGGGCCCTGATTAACTTTTAGGAAGCAAAATAAGTTTGGGGAAAAAAGCAAGCATAAAGTTTTTGCTGATTTAACCTACTTCATATGGATTGAAATAGCTTCACTCTTTGTCTTATAATAATATTCTGCCATCGACCTGGATCCTCCACTCTACCTCACTTTGTGTGAGGGATGTTGGACACTAATTTCTATCTAGTCCCCTGAAGAAGGACCAGGGCTGAATGTCTCACTGTATCTCCAGTCTCTATGCCCAGGAATGGCCAGATCCCTGCTCCAAAACCAAACCCAGGGGCCAAAGTTCTGTTCCCTATGGACAAGTAGCCCAGGTGTCAGCTGCCTCCCTTCTCCAAACTCCTTGTGTTACCTGTGAGTCTATTTCTTGAGGACAAGGAAACGTAACTCTGAGGGTAAAACTAAGAGCCCAGAGAGCAGAGTCAAGGGCCACGGAATTAATATTCCCAGATAGTAGTATTGAGCTCTGATAAGAAACTAGTCAAATGTGCCTTGTTGGATTGCAGAATTTGAGAATTTCAGTGGCTGCTGTGTGCAACCTGTTTTCCCTCTTTTGGAATGGGAGTGTCAATTGCAGTTACCCCATGCCTATCCCACTACAGTGGGACAGATAATCTCTTCAGTTCACAGGTCTTCAGATTGAGATTAGTACTCAAGGAGCCGGATTTGAGGAACCAGACCCAGGGAACCTCATTTGCACTTAGACCTTGAGGCTGAACCTGATTTCATAATGGGGTGAGACTTCTGTAGGGACTTGGGAGGAGTAAATATATTTTGCACATGGAAGGAATGTAAACAATTGTGGTCAGAGGATATTGTGTTTTAAAACATGACCCCAAATTTCTTTATCACTCCTCCCATGGAAAAGTGGTGTCTGTGTCCCCGCTACATGATTCTGACCAGGGACTTGGAATTTCTACAGGAGAGTAGAGGTATCCAGGAGAGTATGGCAGAAGTAATGATGTGTTACTCCCAAGGTTAGGTCAGAAAGGGATATGCAGCTTCCACCTGCTTCTCTTGGTATTCTTGCTTTTGGATCCCAGCCACCGTGCTGTGAGGAAGCCCAAGCTGCCACGTGTAGGTATTCAGGCCAACAGTCCCAGCTAAAGTCTAACTACAAGATGTGAGGGATCAAGTCTTTAAGTCATTCTAGCTCTAGCTGTCAAGTCATCCTCAGCCTTCAAATCCTCCCAGCTGAGGCCCCAGACAATGTAGACAGAGACAAGCCATCTCCGTCATGCTCCTTCCAAATTCCTGACACACAGAATTCCTGAGCATAACAACTTTGGTTTTACACCATTAACTTTGGGATGGTTCAATTTACTACAGTACATAACCGGAACCACCTATCTATATTTGTAGTCACTGTTGTAGCTGCTGGGGCATTCCACCACTTCATGTTTCAACCAGGACTGGAGTTTGCAGTGCCATTGGGTCCTGTTCCTTTCCTGTCTTGCTATCTCCAACCACCATCACAACATATGAAGCTAAGATCCAGACCTTGTCCCTCCCCTTACTGGCTCTGATTTTACATGTTAAAATGCACTGCCTTATGGATGAAACCCAAGATAGCACAGAAACATTATCATGAGTAACATGATTATGAGTAGGCAGTAAATAAGGCAAAGGAAGAGTCTAATAGTAGACACTTGGCAATATGGGATGATGGGCTGAGCCTGAGACTTCCGAATTTTTTGTTTTGTTTTTATTTATCCTGGCATCTATATTTAGAAAGTTATTACATCTCCAGTTTCCATTTCATCCAGGACAAGGACCAATGACCAGTAGATGGTGAGTTTCTGGCAAATCACCAGCTTCATTTGACAGAACTCCACGCCAGATGCCATTGCCTCAGACTCCTCTAGACAAACTAGGATTCCCCATGAGGGAAAGAGAGCAGCTAGTAGCAATACTTTCTCACACTTTCAAATTTCCTTGTCAGCACCCACCATCCCTTCTACACAGTCTCAGTCTCCTTTGGGTCTGAGATATCAAGACTTCAAGGAAAGTGAGATGTTCTTCTCAAAATGGAATCTGGCACATAGCCCCTACACCAGTGCCATCAGTTCCTGTCACAGTAATACATGTCACACATGTACTACAAAGTCTTCAAAATAATGACAGCAATGCCAACAAGAAGACCTATGTTTCGGGGAGGTCTGCAGGATTAGATGAAATAACCACTAGATTCACTAGATTACCAGCTGCTAAATGTGACAGCAACTCCTTCCCACCGGCCTGAGACCTTGGATAGCATATCATAGAACCAGGTAACAAGGTCTGTGGAGGGCAATGTGGAAAACTGGGCAGCGGGTAGTGAGACTAAGGAGAAAAAGTGGAAATTGACAGATGGTGGATCCTGCAGCTGAGAGCTGATTCTTCAGTTTGACATGGTTGACATATAGATTTCAAATGGAACTTGGTAAAGGTCAAGTTGTTTGACCATAGACCAAACCCTTGCTCTCCATAAGGTCTTGAATTTTTATTTGCTTTGCTCTCACTACTGTTTCTTTACTTCCCAAGAACTTCAGAAGGAGCTTAGGCAGTTGGGGGAGGAAGAAAGTGGGAGATCAAAGAGAATTTAGTTCCTAGATCTAAACTTTGGGACCCTAAAATATTGTGTTATTTTAAAAAAAGTGCCACTTCCAGGAACCCAGTTCTGTAAATAGTTTTCAGAAGTGAAGAGACTCACAGAGATTGGCTGATGAAATTTTCATTTGCCTCTAGCAAATATAATCAGAGCTGTCCTGCCACCACCAATTTGCAACCATAAAACCAAAAGAAGAAAAAGAAGGAGTAAACAAGAACAACTCAGCACAGCTTCCAGGAACAAGAACATTTCCCAACTAACCATCTTTAATCAGCCCCATCCTGCCTCCTCCCACTGTGTCTCAATCTAATGTCATAATTCAACTGCAAATATACTTAATAGGAAACATCAGTCCTAATCCTATTTGTTCTGGAATCACTCAAAAACCACCAAGGTTTGGTCAGAATAGAAAAGAAAAACAATGAAAACTACAACTTTGTGCACATAAAACTACACTCAAGGATTCTGTACATCCCCAACCATTTCAGCCACACATGCTTCTAATGAGGAGAATCTAACTCCTTCTGGGCAGGCTGGCACCTGGCTTCTGGCCTGATGGTAATTATTTGGTCTCCCTGACATGGCTTTGACTCTAAGCCAGAGCTGTTCATTGGAAATGTAATGTGAACTGCAAATGTGAGCTCCATATAAAATTTTAGATTTTCCTACAGCCACATTTAAAAAGTAAAAAGAAACAGGTGAAATTAATTTGCATAATACATTTTAATCCTATATATGAAAAATATTGTCATTTCAATATTTAATCAATATGTGACTAGTGTGCAGGTAAGCCCGTCCTTATTTTTGTTCCTTTCTGATAGGAAGTGACTCTCCTGAGTTAAGCAAATGAAATGGGAACCCCTGATCCCTGGAAGTAAGCTTGCCAGGTAAAATTTAAGACACGTAGTTAAATTTGAATTTCAGATAAACAATGAATACTTTTTTAGTATAAGTATGTCCCAAGTATTACATGGGACATACTTACACTACAAAAAATATTTCATTATTTATTTGAAATTCAATTTAACTGGGCTTCCTGTATTTCTATTTGGTAAATCTAGCAACCTGAAAGGCGTTATTAGAATTGAGTCCTTCTTTAGCTAAAAGAGAGTATGTAAGTGGTGAGTGAAGATAGCTCTCTCTTATGAGAACCACAATTAAGGTAATGGGCGGGGGACATGTCTTCAGGTGGCCAGTAGAGGTAGGAAGGGCCAAGATGTGTTCTACCTTGGCCCAGCATAGACAGGAAGGTACTGGCAATCCCACAAAAGAAGGAGGAAATGGAGGCAAAGAGAGAAAATATGACCAGTACTTGGGGCAACAGAAGATGATGGAGCACAAGGAAGTCAGAGGCAGGCGTGCTGGGAGAGTCCTTGTGCTCAGGATGAGAAGCACCCTTATCAAGAATGAGTAATGAGGGCACCTGCTAGGAATGTACACAGGCTGAGCAGCTGGTGGTGCTGACTCTCTGGAGCCTACTCCTCTCTACCCTGTTTTCTTCTCTTTCCATGAATTTGACAAAATATCTGTATATCCCATAAGGATATACCTTTTGCAAGATGTTGATCTTAATGTGGCATCTGCTGCTTTCCAATTTGCTATGGATTTTCTTTAATAAAAAAAAGTCTTTTATTTTCATTTTATGTGCTAAGAGCTCTAAAAATAGGTGAGGAGAGAAACACTGAGGTTGTTCAATTTATTCCTTTGTATGCTACGTGAGAGGGGTGAAATATGCCCCCCCCAAATTCCTAAAAATTCTAAAAGGGTAACCTGGTTAAAGCTAAGGGGCATAGGGATTACAGAACTTTGAGGGTGATGTGTTTTCAATTGCTAGGTGTTGAGCACTTATAAGACTCAGAGTTAAGATCCAGAGTGTCTGATACAGTAGATTGGGGCTGGGTCTCGAGAATTTGCATTTCTAACCATTTCTCGGGTGATGCTAACACTGCTGGTCCAGGGACCACACTTTAAGAACCATTGCCTTAAACAATGAGAGAGTCTCCACAGGAATTTAAATAATACCTGTTGAGAGTTTTTGTTTTTTCATTAGAGACCAAAAGAATATAAACTGCATCAGCAGTGGTCCTGCAGAGCCAGTGGTCTCTGTTGCTGCTGTTGATGGTGCAGCTGAATTATGTGGGTTTTCACATCATGAGTCAGATGGTTTAATTGAAGCTCTGGAGGTTGGAGGAGGAAGTGTCTAAAAGGTGATCCTTTGCAATCCAAACCAGATGCTTACCACTCCTGGTCACGTCTGCTCTTTCTGCCCTATGTTGTTCATTGTGCTCCCTTCTAATTAGCCCTAAATTTCCCTAGTCTATCCCGCTGCCTCAGCCTCCAGCCAGTCCTACCCTGGGTCAGAGGAAGGTTATCTTCCTTAGCCAATATTCAAGATGATTGGCACCCAAAAATTTGCTTCTGGGTATAGGAAGCCTTCCATGCTCTTTTCCTGAGCATGGTGGTTAGAGGACCCACTTGGTAGTGACATCTTCCATTCCCTTGTTACATTTTTGTCTAGAAGGAGAGAGCCCATCAGTCCCAGACAAATGTGGAAGATGGAACTCTACATAAGGCCACTAACAATGAGACTCAGTGAGATTTTCAGCACTTACAAAAAGCATTTCCTTCTAACCTCTCCTGAGCCTATCCACTTCCTTCCCAGTAGGCTTCTGGGATGCAAGCCTATTCTCTCTTTCTCTTTAGGAATTTCGTCCTCTTAGAACTGTCTCCAAGACTTCCTGTCAACCCAGGTCCCCCGTGTCCATCCATGTTTAATTTAAGAACTTAGTAACTAAGTTAAATGGAGTTTTAAGGGATGTCCAAGATCAAACATAAAGAAACCACAAAGAAGCAGGGGAACAAGGCCTACACAAGGTCCCACCAGCTTGGAAAAGAAAGTCACACGTGTCCACCAAGATGATTGGACTCAATGTAAGCTTCCTGATTCCTTGGAATGGAGACCCCAAGAAGAAAGAGAAGTCTTCAAAAAGAGACAAGACTGGTTTCCCCCCTTCCTGTTAGGGAAGGCTCTGTGACCCGTCCTGGCCACTGCGGTGTCTTCTGCTGAGACTTCTGATTTCTTTGCTGAGGTTTTCCATTTTTCATCTGTTTCAAGTGTGTTCATGGGCAGTTGCTAGTTGGAACATTTTTTTTTTTTGCTTCAAAATCATTGTTAGGGGAGACCTTCAAGATGGCTGCGCGTAAGACGTGGAGATCAACTTCCTCCCCACAAATACATCTGAAATACATCTATATATGGAACAACTCCTAAAGAACACCTACTGAATACTGGCAGAACACCTCAGACTTCCCAAAAGGCAAGAAACACCCCACGGACCTGGGTAGGCCAAAAGAAAAAAGAAAAAACAGAGACAAAAGAATAGGGATGGGACCTGCACCAGGGGGAGGGACCTGTGAAGGAGGAAAAGTTTCCACACACTAGGAAGCCCCTTCATTGGCGGAGATGGGGGGGGGTGGCAAGGGGGAAGCTTTGGAGCCACAGAGGAGAGAGCAGCAACAGGGGTGCAGAGGACAAAGCGGAGAGATTGCCTCACAGAGGATCAGTGCCGACTAGGACTCACTGGCCCAAGAGGCTTGTCTGCTCACCTGCCGGGGCGGGTGGGGGGTGGTGGGAATTGAGGCTCAAGCTTCGGAGGTCAGATCCCAGGGAGAGGACTAGGGTTGGCTGCATGAACACAGCCTGAAGTAGACTAGTAGCCACAGCTAACCGGGAGGGAGACCAGGAAAACCTCTGACCTGCCTAAGAAGGAAGAGATCATTGTTTTGGGATGCGTGAGGAAAGGGGATTCAGAGCACTGCCTAAATGACCTCCAGAGATAGGCATGAGCCGTGGCTATCAGCGCGGACACCAGTGACAGGTATGAAATGCTAAGTTTGCTGCTGCAGCCACCAAGAAGCCTGTGTGCAAGCATAGGTCACTATCGGCACCTCCCCTCCTGGGAGCCTGTTCAGCGCAACACTGTGGGACAGTGACAATTTCTCCAGGAGAACACACTGTGTGTCTCAGGCTGTTGCAATGTCACGCTGGCCTCTGCTGCCACAGGCTCACCCTGCAGTCCGTAACAATCCCTCCCCCTGGCCTGAGTGAGCCAGAACCCCCTAATCAGCTGCCACTTTAACCCCATCCTGTCTGATCGAAGAACAGAGACACTTAGGCGACCTACACACAGAGGCGAGGCCAAATCAAAAACTGAGCTCTGCGAACAAAGGAGAGAAAGGGAAATCTCTCCCAGCAGTCTCAGAAGCAGCAGATTAAATTTCCAAAATCAACTTGATTTACCCTGCATCAGTGGAATACCTGAATAGACAATGAATCATCCGAAAATTGAGGCAATGGACTTTGGGAACAACAACATATGTATATTATTACTTTATCTCTTTCTGTGAGTGTGTATGTATATGCTTCTTTGGGTGATTTTGTCTGTATAGCTTTGCTTTTACCATTTGTCCTAGGGTGCCGTCTGTCCTTTTTTTTTTTTTTTAGTATAGTTACACTTCGTATCATTGGTGGATTTGCTTTTTGGTTTGGTTGCTCCCTTCTTTCTTTCTTTCCTTTTTAAAAATTTTTAAAATTACTTTAAAATTTTTTTATTTTTAATAATTATTTTTATTTTCTATTTTAATAACTTTTATATATATATATTTTTTCTGAGCCATGTGGCAGACAGGGCCTTAGTGCTCTGGCCAGGTGTCAGGCCTGTGCCTCTGAGGTGGGATAGCCAGGTTCAGGACATTGGTCCACCAGAGACCTCCCAGCTCCACGTAATTATCAAACGATGTAAATATCCCAGAGATCTCCATCTGAACGCCAAGACCCAGCTCCACTCAACGACCAGCAAGCTACAGTGCTGGACACCCTATGCCAAACAACTACCAAGACAGGAACACAATCCCACCCATTAGCAGAGATGCTGCCTACAATCATGATAAGGTTACAGAAATCCTATAACACACCACCAGACGCAGACCTAACCACAAGAAAAGCAAGATACAGCCTCATCCGTCAGAACACAAGCAGTACTCCCCTCAACCAGGAAGCGTACACAACCCACTGAGCCAACCTTAGCCATTGCAGGCAGACACCAAAAACAATGGGAACTATGAACTGGCATCCTGTGAAAAGGGACCCCCAAACACAGTAAGATAAGCAAAATGAGAAGACAGAGAAACACACAGCACATGAAGGAGCAAGGTAAACACCCACCAGACCAAACAAATGAAGAGGAAATAGGCAATCTACCTGAAAAAGAATTCAGAATAATGATAGTAAAGATGATCCAAAATCTTAGAAATAGAATGGAGAAAATACAAGAAACGTTAAACAAGGACCTAAAAGAACAAAAAAGCAAGCAATGATGAACAACACAGCAAATGAATTTAAAATTCTCTGGAAAGAAAAAAAAAAGCAAGAATAAAAATAGAAAAAAAAATTCTCTGGAAGGAATCAATAGTAGAATAACTGAAGCCAAAGAATGGATAAGTGACTTGGAAGATAAAATAGTGGAAATAACTACAACAGAGCAGAATAAAGAAAAAAGATGAAAATAATTGAGGACAGTCTCAGAGACCTCTGGGACAATATTAAAAGCACCAACATTCGAAATATAGGGGTCCCAGAAGAAGAAGAGAAAAAGAAGGGACTGAGAAAATATTTGAAGAGATTATAGTTGAAAACTTCCCCAATATAGGAAAGGAAGGAATTAATCAACTCCAGGAAGAGCAGAGAGTCCCATACAGGATAAATCCAAGGAGAAACATGCCACGACCCATATTAATCAAACTATCAAAATATTAAAAGCAGCAAGGGAAAAACCACAAATAATATACAAGAGAATCCCCATAAGGTTAACAACTGATCTTTCAGCAGAAACTCTGCAAGCCAGTGGGCGTGGCAGGACATATTTAAAGTGATGAAAGGGAAAAACCTACAACAAAGATTATTCGACCCAGCAAGGTTCTCATTCACATTCGACAGAGAAATTAAAATCTTTACAGACAAGCAAAAGCTGAGAGAATTCAGCACCACCAAACCAACTTTACAACAAATGCTCAAGGAACTTCTCGAGGCAGGAAACACAAGAGAAGGAAAAGACTTACAATAATACACACAAAACAATTAAGAAAATCGTAATAGGAACATACATATTGATAATTACCTTAAATGTAAATGGATTAAATCCTCCCACCAAAAGACACAGACTGGTTGAATGGATAAAAAAAACAAGACCCATATATATGCTGTGTACAAGAGACCCACTTCAGACCTAGGGACACATATGGACTGAAAGTGAGGGGATGGAAAAAGATATGCCATGCAAATGGAAATCAAAAGAAAGCTGGAGTAGCAATTCTCATATCAAACAAAATAAACTTTAAACAAAGACTATTATAGGAGACAAGGAAGGACACTACATAACGATCAAGGTATCAATCCAAGAAGAAGGTACAACAATTGTAAATATTTATGCACCAAACATAGGAGCACCTCAATACATAAGGCAGGATGATAAATTTCGTCATTGGCAAAAGTAGAGAGATTACAAAAAGGAAATTGTTAAAAATGAAGAAGTGGAGTTCAGGTTTGTACATGTCAAATTTGAGGATGAAGAGAACATCCAACTGGTGATATCCACCAAAGGCTGAAAATACAGGACTAGCTCAGATGGAAAGTAAGAGCAACAAAATGAACTTGGGAGTCACCAGCCTATAGATTATAATTAAAACTACAAAAGATTGTCAAATTTAAACTCATTTTTGGATGATTATTTTGTCCTCATAATAGGTTTTCAAATATATTTTTCTATGTGTTTATTATGTTCCCTTATTTTAACAGTCTGCAAATTTGCAAGAACGTATTTCAGTGAATCGATCTCTTAAGATTCTTTCTGGAACCTCTAATTCACTTCTCTGTACTTGTGTTTGTGTTTGTGTGTGTGTATGTGTGTGCACGCATGCACATAGATGTACATCTAGTGCTAGAAATGAAAGAGGTCTGGAAGGAAGCAAGATAATTGTTATCATTTCCCAGGAAAAACTGGGAAGTGTGAATATTTACCAATAGCACAGTTCTATTTAGGCAAGTTCATGAAATGAAAAAGATAGATTTTGAGTTCTGGGTATATATCCTACTATTTAAGACCAGCCGATCATTGATCTCTTTTTCCTCAATTTTAGAATTCCATTCAGCTCAAAACACATTTGAATCTTTTACTCAGGTCACTTTATACCTAATGGCTGCAGCTTCTTTAGTTCTTTTGACTAATACAAAATTTACGATTTCTCTTTTTCCTCAGTTGCTATACCTGCCTTTCAGGAACTGCTCTCGTTTTCAAGAACTTGAGAGGAAGACTTTGAAATCAGAGGAATTCCAAAAGAGGCTGCATCCTTATAAGGTTAAAAAATGTGTTATTTAGTGGTATGCAGAAATAGTGGAAATTCTGGGACAATTTGAATATTATCAAATTACCCTTCAATCAGGTTATACCAATTTGTACTCCCATCAGAAATACATAAGAGTGCCTGTTTCTCCACAGCCTTCCGAACAGTGTGTAGACAACTATGAGGATATTTGCCAATCTGTAAGTGAAAGATGGTATCACTAGAAGCATTCCCTCCAAAATCAGGAATGAGACAAGAAAGACCAGTATCATCACTATTATAGAACACTGTGCTGTAGTACTTTTCTCTTACGATGAGTGAGCTTTGGGTATCTTCGTCTAGTTAAAAGCCATTTGTATTTCCTATTCTGTTCATATCCCTTCACCATTTTTCTTTTGGGTTATTGGTTTTCTTCTTTTTATAAAGTTTTAGGAGCTTTCTCTCTTAACTTTTTTTTTCCTGGGATACAAATGGCCCTCTTTTTATTGTTTGCCTATTGACTTGTTTACAGCGTTTTTGCCACATGGTTGTAAGTGTGTTGATATAGCCATCTATGGTTTGTATATTTGTAGTCATATTTAGAAAAGCCTTAGCCACTCCTTGGTTATAAAGGAAGTCTGCAATGCTTTCTTATAATTCTACTATAGCTTCATTTTTACATTTAGGACCCATTTACAGTTTATACTGGTGTTAGGTGTGAGGTATGTATCCTGCTGAAGTTTTTTCCAGAATATTACCTAATTGCTCTATCACTGTTTATTGAGTAGTTCATCTTTTCCCCACTAATTTGAGCTGTTACATATTAAAATTCCCATATGTATAAGGTCTATTTCTAGAATTTTTATTCTTTTTAATTATTCTTTCATTTTATTAGCCAAAACCACACTGTTATAATTATTAAAAATTTTATATGCTTTAATATTTAAAGCATATTACATATTCTCTCCCTCATTCTCTACTTTTTCTGAGTTTTCATGGGTATGTTTTCATTTAACTTTTCAGTGTTTCTGTTGGGGTTATATTAAATATATAAATTAACTTAGGGAGAATTTGCAACTTTGTTGCAAATTTGTTGAGTCTTCCTTTCCAAGAACATGATACATTTTCCTATTTGTTCTTATCGTCAAGATTGTTTTAAGGTTTTCTTCATATAGGTCTTTATATTTTTTGTTAAGTTTGTTCCAGGCTTATAAGATCTGCAAAAAAATCATGGCTTATGTCTACTTTTCCAATATTTATACCTCTTATTTATTTTGCCTATTTGTACTGGCCAGTACTTACAGTCCATTATTACATAATAGTATTGGTAGTGGGTATCCTTGTCTTACTCCTGATTTTAGAAGTATTTCCCTATTAAGCATTCTGGCTTTTGGACCAAATAGACATACTTTTATCAAGTTAAGGAATTAGCTATCTTTCCTATTTTCTTGAGTGTTTTTGTCAATATTGGTGTTTAATTTTTTTAAAGGTCTTTTCAACATTTTTAGTAAAATCAAGTTATTTTTCTCTTGGATCAATTACTAAGATTAATTATATTTATAGATTTACTATTATTGAACTATCTTTACATGTCTAGATTCAAGCCCCCCTTTTTTTAGTATGATATTGAATTATCTGTTAATATTTTACCTAGACTTTTTACACTGATATTCAAAGTAACTTTGGACAATAGTTTTCTTTTCTGGTAATTCTTTGTCAGTATCAATGCTTATACAAATTTTTTGGAAGTTTTCTTTCTTTTATTATGCTCCAGGTCAGTTAAAATAGCACAAAGCTTGGTAGAATTTCCCAATAAAATTACCTGGCCATGGAGCTTTTGTTTTGTTTTGTTCTGTTTTGTTGGGGGAAGTTGTGGGCTCTTTAATAATTATTTCTGTTTATTTTATGGAAATCCATTTGGGTTAATATTAGCAAATTATATTTTCCTAGAAAATTTATTCATCAGACAAACAGTATCTTCCAAAGGCTTCCCAGAAATTGCTACCAATTCATCATGCAGACAGCTGACCAATGGGTCTCATTACAATGACAATCCAAAAATAATACAGAACCTAGAGAAATGTTTGCATCCCATCCAAATCCCACATTTATAGCCAGATACCAGACCCAGTTTCTGTTGTGTCTTCCTGGGGTGCTTTGGTCTGAGACATGCTTTCCCTTCTCACCTTCCACTCATTTACATGTGAGTTATACTTCACCTACTTCCAAGATGAATTTGATGCAGTGCACTTCAGTCTGATTCCAGGACAAACCAGGAACATGTGGCAGTAAGCCAGCAGGTGCCCACATTTTTAATGTAATAATAAGAAATGATCAATTAGCATTTGTAAAAATCTTTGGTGCACTTAGCCAGTATTACTGGCGCACTTTCATGTGAAGAACAGCAGTTCTCAATGGGGGCAAGTTTGCCTCACAGGGACCCTTTGTCAATGCCTGGAGACATTTTGGGTTGTTGCAACTGAGGGACTAGGGATGATGTGGCATCTAGTTGGTAGAGGCCAGGGTTGCTGCTGAGCATCCTACAGTGCACAGGGTAGCCCCACAGCAAAGAATTATCCAGCCCAAATATCAATAATGCCCAAGTCGAGAAACCCTGGTGTAAAAATTTCTTCCCTCTGTGTGTGTTTCAGGATTTTATAGAAATCTTGCCAAAATTTACAGGATACCATGACCAGGACCTTTTTGGAATTTGGAGTAAAGTCTACGACCCTTTATTTTGTGAGGTAAAAGAAAAAATATCAAAGATTAACTTACCATCTGATTTTATGATTTATGTATTTTGAAACAGATGAATACATTTTCTTTTGCTTTTATACAGATGTATTATTTAGACTTCCTTTGACATTGAAACATAAGTCAAGACTTCTTTATATTAACTTGAAAATTCTGACTTCTTCTCTCTCTGATTTATGTATACACCCTTTAGAAAATTATTAGCAGTGACTTCCCTGGTGGTCCAGTGGTTAAGACTTTGCCTTCCAATGCAGGAAGTGTGGGTTTTATCCCTGGTTGGAGAAGTAAGATCCCACATGACTCATGGCCAAAAAACCAAAACATAAAACAGAAGCAATATTGTAAGAAATTCAATAAAGACTTTAAAACTGGTTCACATCAAGAAAAAAATCTTTAAAAAAAAAGAAATTTTAGACAAAATTGCTTTTTCTGTGCCTTACCACTTAACTTATTTTTCAGTTACTCAGGAACGCTGGGCTCCATTTCATTAAATAGACTTTAATGAAAAAAGCAATACTGTTGTACAGAAAGAAGAAGAAAAAAAATTACCTGATTTCTGTATGTAGAAATAAGCAAGCCAACTTTAAGCCAGGCTATTAAAATTGCTTTATCAGGAAAGAATTTCTCTTTTGCTATACAATGCATGTGAAATAACCTTTTTAGCTAGATAAATTACTATTTTTTCAGGCTTCATGATGTTTTTCTCAATCACCATTCTACACCTGCTGGCCAAAAGGAAAACTCTATAATCCTGTTTTCCCAGCCAGTTCACTGAATCTTGGGGCAAAATTCTGACCAGCCACAAGACTCCTATACACCTCTGATATTGAGGTCATTGTGAGTGTCTGGGGATGACAATTACTTTCATAGTTCCATATTGATAGCAAATGACACAGTTTGCACCCCTCTATGTTAGAGTTCATTGACCCAAGCACACGCGACATTCCCAATATTTTCACTTTATCATCAGCATCTGTTTCAAGGAAGATTTGTTAGTCTTATAAAAGAGTCTTCAATAAAAACAATAACTCACTTTCTGGTTCAAGTCTTGGGTTTTTTTTTCCCTTACTACAGTTTGATCTGAGCTATTCCAAGTTGTGGCCACATTACTTTTTTTTTTTTTTTTTTTTTTTTTACTTCTCTCTCACTTAATTCTTCTGTAGGCTACTTCACTTTGATCTCCTCTTTCATGAAATCTCCCTCTCTCCCAAGAAAGGCTGGACCCAGTACTTTTTGGGGGGAAGGGGGATTAAAAAGTCAGTAAAGAGGACAGTCAGAAATAAAAATATACATTTTCTTCCTTTGTCTTTGCTACAGGGTGTTCACAATTTCACTTTACCCTCCTGGGCCACAGAGGACACCATGACTAAGTTGGAGAAATATCAGAATTGTCCCTCCTGTCCCTCTATGGAATTCACAGGCAGAAAGAGAAATCTAGACTGCAGGGGGGTAAGTATTTTAAAAATGAGAGAAGCATTGTGGTTAAATGATCTGTGTCTGAGTCCTGGTCCCACCGTTAATAAGTTATGTGACCTTGAATTAGACACGTAATCACCCCTGTACCAGTTTCCATTCTGCAAATTGGGGACAATAATAATACCCACTTCTTTAGTAGTAAGGATTAAAATGAATGTATGTATTCCAAAGGCTTACCACAAATAGTACCTGATACATAATACACTATCAAACATTATGTGTTTTTATGATCATTAATATTACCCACTCTGAGCCTTAGTTTTCCCATCTGGAAAACAGAAGCTTTGGGCTAAAGCTAAATGATACTTTTCATCCTTTCCAGATCAAAGAATCATGGATTTTATATCTGAGGCACATAAAAATCAATTGTGTCTGGTGGCCTATAGGGTGAATTTTTCAAGTGGGAGGTATAGCAAAAGTGGCCTGTTTTCCTAAAACCCTTGGTGGTAGCCACTGTTAAAGTTAATACAGTAATACAGTTAATACAGTTAATACAAAGTAAACTTTGCAGGCTAATTATGCCCTGTAGATTAATACCTATTGCAATTGACAAGCTAATGACACAGCTTAAATTTTTCCATTGGTGTTGAAAGATGTTTGCTTCTCAGTGATGCCTCTTCTCAGCTGGATTTGGCCCTCTGTAGAACAGGACCTCTAATCATAATGAAGGAGCCCAGCTCTTGTAATCAGGATAGATGGGTCGAAGAAAGAAGCCAAGATCAGGCAGGATGGGGATAAATGCTGAGGCTCTGAGGGCAGCTGAGTGGCAGGCCAAGACCCCTGAAGATATGACAGGTCTGAACCTGTGTTGTTAATGTAGACATTAAAACTAAAGATGGAGAGAAAGACATCTATTATGTCAGGCTGTCATAACAATGAAGAAAATTTAAGTCACAGGAGATGCTCTGAGTCATATACTCTAGAGACTTTGAAGAAAACAGTACAATCACATTAGGACTCCAACAATTGCCGGACACTATTCACCATGAGGTTGGACAAGTTCAGCAGACCCCCAGGAGAATACAGAGACAAAGCATCCTGGGGGTTGGACCAGACTGGGAGGATGTTCACTCAGGGCTGCAGAGCTAGAGAAAGAATTCAAGTCACCAGCCAGGAGAGGAGTCAATTATAGCTGCAAAAGCTCATATAAAGAGTGAAGTAAGCTGTACTAGAACAGCTAATGAGGTATGAAGTCAGGATGGTTGGGAGTAATTTCATATGAGGTGAACAAAGTACCTTGGGACAAATAATTTAGGGCAGTGGTCATGAATGATGTGATAGTGTTGCAGACCTGCTGTTACAGAGCCCTGGTTGCACAGTGCAGAGAGAGACTTGATGAGAATGTACAAGTCCTCACTCCGTGCTGAGGGCATGAACCACAAGACCCAGACCCTGGGGATGGGAGAGCATCCAGATATGAGTCATAGATGGAATCTAGTGTCTTAGGAAAAATTAGCAGGCAGGACACAGACTGTGTGTAGGAACAGAGCCCAAGACCCAACTCAATCTTACGTACCAAACAACAAAGGATGCGGAGGGTGAAAGTTGGGCCTCATTGGCCACATAAGCACCAGATCTCATTCCTGAACCAGCAGGAACCAGCAGTATGGTGGCCAAATGCATCAGATGGTAGAGACAAGAGTCTTCATTTCCCCAACCTAGTCATGATGGGCTCAGGAATTCATCCCCTCACTACTAAAGATGCAGTCCATGGACCAGCAACGTCAGCATCGCCAAGCCCCTAGAAAGAAATGCAGAATCCTAGGCCCCACCTCAGACTAGCTGAATCTGAATCTGCATTTTAATGAAATCCCTAGATACCTCACATGTACAATAAAGTTTCAGAAGCACTTCTCTAGATGTAAGAGATGGTGAAGAAAAGGGCAGGGAAAGCCAGGTAGGGGTTGACTAGAATCTGTTAATAAATGCAGGGGCCTGTATCCGAATATAAGATGGGTGTTTTCCCAGCAGCTTGCTTCATATTTCCTTTACTTATTTCCCTTGGCTACTAGAGATTGCATTTTGAGGAAGTCACTTCCCCTCTCTGGGTCTCAGTTTCCCCATCTGATGAGTTCACTAAACTAGATTTGTCTATCAGAGTCCTTCCCTAAGGTGGTCTCTGGGTCTTGGACTCTATAAGGACTGGCACTCATATGCATACACCTGTCCCATTTTCTACAGGAAGCCCAGTGCTATTGATAAGCCAGGAAATTGTTTCCTTAGTGATTCCTGCCAAGACACAAGCTCAGCATATTGTTCAGATCTGGCAAGGCAAGAGAGATTTGTCAACTACACGCTTGTTATGAAGCACCTGAACCCAACCCTGCAGAGAAAGCATGTACAGTCTGGGAGACAGAGACACAAGGGAACATCAGGACTTTGACTGGCATCTTCTTACCTTTGCCAAAACTTCTGTTCCATCACTTGGTTTCAAGGGTGACACTGTTCAGTAATATCCTGCTCCCATTGCCTTCCCCCACAACACATCCCCATACACACAAGAAAATCTCTAGGCTAATTCCTAAGGCGAATTTAGGGATATATGGCTGGTCCTGTTTGTGTTAATGCAAATTGTTTCTTGCTATAGATCAGATGTCGGCAGGCAACAGCCTGCAGGCCAAATCCAGGCTGCTGCCTATTTTTTGTAAATAAAATGCTGTTGAAGCTCAGCCACACTCATGCATTTAGGTAGTATCTTTGGCTGCTTTGGTGCTTCCACTTGAGAATTAATGGTTGTGACAGAACACCTGGCCCACGGAGCCTAAAGCATGTACTACTGGCCCTTTATAGAACAAGTTTGCCAACTCCTGATATAGCCCAATAGTGAGAGAAGTGAAGTTTATGTCTTCAAATCAATAGTATTCTGTCTAATGTATGCAGATTTAATAAATGATGCACCAGGGAACTTAGAAGCTAGCTACAGTGAGGCCTAATAATTAAGACCAAGGTTTTGAAGCTGGACAGACTGAGTTCAGTGAAACTCAGCCCCTCTACTTACAAGTTGTATGATCTTGGACAAGTTGCTGAACCTCTCTGAGCCTCAGTTTCCCCTCCTATAAAACATGACTAGTGGGCTTCCCTGGTGGCGCAGTGGTTGAGAGTCCACCTGCCGATGCAGGGGACACGGGTTCGTGCCCCGGTCCAGGAAGATCCCACATGCCACGGAGGAGCTGGGCCCGTGAGCCATGGCCGCTGAGCCTGCGTGTCTGGAGCCTGTGGCTCCACAATGGGAGAGGCCACAACAGTGGCCCACATACCGCAAAAAACCCAAAAAACAAAAAAACCAAAAAAACACCATGACTATTGGCATGCCAGAGCCTGTGGATTATTATGATAGTTACCCCTATTTTCTCCTGGGACAAGTTGCACAAGCACCCCAGAACCAAGAGCTGATCTATTCCGTCATCAACACTGAAAGCTGCTGCAAAGGCACCTGCTGACAAGGGACAAGTTGCTGATTGAAGGTGGCTGTCATGACTCCCAGAAACTCGGCCACAGAGTTTAGTTCCATCATGGCCCGAAGATCAAGCCTAAGCTCTGAAGGGCTCCCAGAAGGCAACCTTCCCTGAAGCAGAAAGGTGCAGACCTGTGGGAAGTGCAGCCTATAGTTCCCTCTATTCCTAGTCAAGGAAGCCCTAGCACCCACGGAAAGAGCAGATCACCTCCCTCTTTTATTGTGCTTATTGGTACACAGACCAATAGACAGTCTCTTCTCACTGTTTTATGAGCTTTTTGAGGACAGGGACCATGTCTGATTCACCCATCGTAGCTGCTCAGTACGTGATTTGCTGAGTGGACCACAGAGTCTGGTATCATAATCTTCTGTTAACATCAATGCCCTGCTCATTACAAAAGAAAACTGGTCATCCTTAAGTGAGGACACCACATGCACTGTAGAGAGATGACCAACAGAGACACAAGGAGTCCTCGGTGGATGGTGTGGAAGCCCCTGGGGCAGCACGTCCTCAGGACAGCACCTGCACCACGAGGTATCCTCAGCCTCAGTGTCTGCTGATGGGATGGAGACTCTGTGCTGTGTCTGTGTGCCTTTTACCACCTCAGGAGCAACAAATGCAAAGGGCAAGAGCTTTCCTCTATTGATGACAGATGGAGCCCTCAGATGAAAACTAAAAGTGCTGGCTGCCCCCCTAATAGTGACACCCAGAGTAACCTGGAGCAATGGTCCACAGAAGACAGTCTGCACCCTTGCAGACATCCAGAGAGCTGCTTTCTCCCTTGGCCTCTCACAGGTGTGGCTGCCAGAGGGATGAAGACAGAGAGGTGCGTGCCACCCTGTGATTTCAGACCTGCCCTGGACAAGAGCAATGGCTAACAACTATCTGTAAAAACCTGTCTGAAATTCCAAGTTCATCAACCTCCTAACTTGAGTTTTAACAAAATCTGGTATACTAAAGTCCTAACATGCCAATCCAGCTCTCCTTCCCCAGCTGAGTAAGTCACTTAATGGCTCTGAGCCTCAGCTTCCTCACTTATGAATGGGGATAGAAGTCAGGATTCAGTGAAATAATGTATACAAATCATACTATTAGCACACAGCAGATGCTCCACCAAAATGAGTTCTTGCCCTCTCTTCTTAAGTCTTAAGAATCCTGGCAGAGAGAATCTCTGTATGAATGAGCAAAAAGCTTATGAACTAAAATATAAGCCCATATTTGGTTCAGCTCAATTGTTGATCTATCTTCTTTAAGGTGTCCTGGTCAAAGAAATCCTCTATCACATGAAGAGTGCAACTCAGCCATTGAACCACAGAAAACTCATTATATATTCTGCAGTATTTTGTTCCCATTCAGCATCTGTTTATTCAAGTGTGTGAGTTCTTTCAGGAGGGGCCTTCATCTTCTTCATCATCATTTCGCTGTTCAAATTCTTTAAAATTAAATACATAATTCTGGCTCTCAAGGAATTTACAGTTCAATACTGACAAGAAGAAAAGTAAGCACATAAATACCATGCAAAGCAGAATCGCAGTGTCATACAAGCCAGTGCTTTGGTGCCTCAGAGAAGGGAAACATCACTTCTGTTCCAAACTAAAACCAGAACAGAAACAGGAGAGGGAAAGTGATAGGAGAATTACAAGGAAAGCTGAGTGTACAGACTTGGTGATGAATTGGAATGTGGGCGGAGGGCAATTATCTGGAAGGTAAGCCACAGATGAAGGTAAATGTTTCAAGTCTCAACGACTGGAAGGAAGGTGGAACCATTAATAGAGGTGGTCATGGGTCAGGTGAATGTACCATTAGGCAATTGGGTTTGAAATGCCAGCTGCATCCAAGAGGAAACTTCAGATAGTAAAGGGGATATAAGAAGGAAAGGGAAGGAAAGCTACAACTTGAAGTCAGAGCTACAGTTGGGTATAGAAAGGAAAGAGAGAGAGATCTTGGAGAAGGCATCCATCTCGGAGCAGGAGCCAGGGAAAGAGGCATTGTTGGGGGAGAAGTCTAGAGATGTACTATGCACTGAAATGGGTGTCCCTTGAGTCTGGGATGAGCAGGGAAACAGGACATGGAGGGCTAAGTCGGTCTCCCATCCACTTCTGCAGGACAGAGGATTTCTCAGATGTGGTCTGGCTGGAGAAAGCCATGGTTTCATTCTGCAAGAAGATGGAAGAGATTATTAAGGATACAGGGAGTCTATCATCTGGGGTTCTAAATGGTATAGACTAGAGAACGAGCTCACGGAGGGAACAGAATGCAGTGCTTCTTTGATAAAGGCAGGCCTGAAATTAATTGATTCTGTCAGTGTTTCTAGTTTCTAATCTGGTTTCCAGTTCTAACTTGTGTGACTTTTGGCAAGTCATAAATCTGTCACTCCTTTTTTTTCTTTTTCTCTAGTAAATCAGTTCTAATCCCTTTGAGTATGTATATTTTGCCATAGAGTTTAGGCAACCAAATGTTATGCCCATTTTGTAGATATGAAAATTGAGGATTTCTTAAGATTAGATAACTAATAGGTGGCAAAACTGGGGCTGAAAACCAGTCTCCTATGCCTTCCAGCTATTCCGAGATAAACCTTTGACAATTCTTTTTAAGCTACACACTCTACTTCCTTACATTTTATTCTGTCTAAACATTTGTAACTTCATATATTCTTCCCCAACTTTAAAATCACAGATGATGCTAATCTGTAAAAAATATATAATCTAGCATTAATGTATGCCAAATTATTTTAAAATTTAATGAAAATCAATGAAACAGGCTAAAAGAGAGAGATGTTCTACTGGGGAAGGCATAGGACAAAATCAGAAGACTTGGCTCGGATTTTACTTTCTGTCACTTTGGAGATATATGACATAAAGCCAGTTACTAAATTTCTTTTTTTTTTTCTTTTTTTTTGGACATGCCATGAGGTTTGTGGGATCTTAGTTCCCCTACCAGGGATTGAACCCGGGCCCTCAGCAGTGAAAGTGCACAGTCCTAACCACTGGAAAGCCAGGGAATTCCACCCAAGTAACTTAATTCCTTTGGGTTTCAGTTTCTTCATCTTTTGAAAGGAAATAATTATATGTATGTAAATCTCACTGCCTAGCACCCAGTAGATGCACAATCAAAATTTGTCCTTTACCTCTCTACTTCTTAAGTCATTGGAGGTATGGATAATTTAATTGAATCAGAAACCATCATGGTGCTCTACAAATGCTTGATACACGTCTGTTGACTGTAAATTTGAACCAGAGATAAAGATCAAAAATGTTTGTTTCAAATCTCTGTAGCATGACACTACTGTGAGTGCCCTACAGATGGCGCTAGATGTTTACAACGGAATCCTTCCTCCCCATGCGTCTTGCCACTTGACGGAATTGTACTTTGAGAAGGGGTAAGTGTCTAAGAGGTGTTTTTCAAAATTAATATCAGTGGACCCTAGGTTTTGTTATCATTATTGTTGTTACTGACTTAAGATTTGTTTTGTCTGTCTGGTTGGTTTGGTTTTATATTCAGAGGGAAGAATGGTGGTGAGTAACACTTTGCTTAGTCATGACTTCCATTTTCTTTGTTTTCATGACGACTTTTATTGGGAAATAATGTACAGACACAGTAGACGAAAAATTTGAAAGAACCACCCTAAGTGACAGAAATTACATTTTTTAAAAAAGATTAAGGTATTCTAAGAAGGATGAGGACATTACACTGTTCTCTTGGAAAACACAGGCTGGTAAAAGATGCCAAGAGAAAAATTAAGTTTGTTGATGGTTATAAATAATGTTCTTTCAATTAAAGATGTCAAACATATCCATGCAGCTTCTGGCAATACATATCCATCAGGTAGGATTCTTAAAGTACAACCTCTGCTCAGTGTTCACCACTTTGCAATCTGGTGTGGCCCTCCCCAGCTGACCAAGGCTTGGCTCAAGCCCACTAGAAAGGCCAAGTTTAGAGAGACCAAGTGTCCTAGTATACCCAGAACTGGAGAGGTTCCCAGAACATGTAAGTTTCATTGTTAAAACCAGGAAACCCCTGGGCAAACCAGGAAGAGTTGGTCACTATAGCCAAGGTCATACCAAAAATTTGTACCTGCTGTGACACCGGCATTCTCGTTGGGATGAAGAGACCTCTTGAATATTATTGATGGAATAAGAACAAGGCAGGGGCTAAGTTAGGGCAGGGACCCCAAATTTTTGTTTCAGGGTTAGCTGGGGAGGTGCATTTTGCTCTCCCCTTACGGCATTCACCATAGCCGCAGTCAGGACGATCTTGACTGCAATTACACAGGGCCCTGAGCTCAGAAGAGCCCGTGCTTGGTTTAATGACCCAGTGTCACCATTCTGAAATTCTTAATAATTTTTAAACAAGGCACCCTGCATTTCTTTTTGCAAATTATAGTCCTGGCTATAGGTTTCTGGCCACCTGAATTTGTAGAGTAGGAAAATAGCAACACAGAGGCCTATTCTCTACCAAGATCTTCACTGCTTACAAAGAAAGTGAGTTCTGCACAGTTAGGGAGAGGTAAGTTCATCCTTTGTTGAACCTCTAACTGGGTGCCAAGCACAATGAAATAGAACTGAAATGTGGTCTTAGCAAGTTCTGCTCTCAAATATCTAGAGTCAGAATGGAGAGACAAATCCCATAACATGGAGAAAATCCAAACAGAGCTGAAAATGGGAATGAGAAGACTGTGGACAAGTGCTCTGTCAATACTGGCTTCAGGCACAGAGTCAATAAATCCAGTGAAAATTCCAGGATCAGCTCTAGGAGTAGGCTCTGTCTCTTTGGGATAAGACAAAAGAAACTACCCACTTTCCTCGAGCCTCCCTCCTCTCTGATTTCTGTACCCGGTAGTCCTGAGCCTGCTTTTATTTAGGTCACTGCAGCATTTTGTCCCACTGAATCGTTCTCTCACCACCTTGAATAAATCCATATTATGAATTAAGTGTGGGGTATTTTTCAACTAAGAGACACTGAACAACAGAAAAAAAAGTAACCAACTGTCACTCACAGGCAGAAGTCAAGTTTGTTGTTATATTAAGATTTTTTTTAACACTCCAGAGGAGTATCAAAAGTTAAACTTGCTTGCTTATAGATTAGGAACAAGGAGAACCCAAGTTAACAAATATAGGCATATGTATATACCAGCAAATTAGGGGATCCTCCGTGTAAGGTGATCCCACTTTATCCCTATGAGAAAATAGAGAAAAAGAGAATTTTTAGATTTTTATCCACCTTAAACATACAAACTTTTAAGTTTGTAGATAAGATAGCTAAATATATTCTAAAACTATTCCATTTTTGGTTACGTACATAAACTTAAAATCATATACTATATAAAATAATTCACTAAGTTAAATAGTGCTTCTCACTTTCATATTTTATGAAACACTTTTATTCAAACTCTTTGTATGCACCTTTACTTGTGTCTTTACCACTGGAGCCAATTTTGAGTCCCCTAAAAATGTTTTCCAAATATATTAATTAATAAGGGTAATTTTGGCTGCTGTACAGATGAACCTCAAATCTCAGAAGCTTAACTCAATGGAGATTTCTTTCTCGTTCATCTAACAGTCCAATGCAGATGTTCCTGGCCAATAGGAAGTGACTCATCCATGGTGTGATTCACACATGGTGATTTGGGGACCCAGGATTCCATCTTTTGGACCTACAGTCTTCAAGAGTGCTGTGCTCACCTGCAGAGAGCTTGTAGGAAAGAATGAGAGGGTGGAGAAGACAATCTGCTTAGCAAGCACCTCAGCCCTGAAGGGGCATATGTCACTTCTACTTACATTCTACGATACTAGCTAAAATTAGTCACTTGGTGCCTCCTGACTGCAAGGGAGTCTGGGAAGTGTACTCACTTCTCAGCTGTAACTTTATTCTATGTAAAGAGAATCATGAATTTTGATGGACTATTAGTCATCTTTGCCATATTATCATGATATAAAGGATACTGCCACTGAAAAAGTTATTCCAAGATATAAGTGCTCATTCATATAATATTAGGGAAGTTTTTAGAAACATATAAATGAATATTTGTGGTTACTACTGTTTATATGGTTTCTTAAAGTGATTTATTTGAAAGGCTTGTTTATAACAACATCCAAAAGTTGCAGTTGTGAGGTTACTGTACTTGAATTTCTCTCCTGTCTCTTTGGCAAATGACTTCCATAGGCAGCTTGTACTAGCTTTACAAGGTTGGTTTGGGCCAGTGGTCCTTCCCTAAACAGTGTATTTTTTTTAAAAAATAAAGTGGTGAGAGAGCCCTCCTCAACACGAGCAAATGTAAGGACTCGAATACACACCCACCCCCTCCTTCTGAGGTATCATTTTTATAAGTCTTGCTGTATATTCAAGCACATATGTTATATATTATTCAGTTCCATGTTTCTGGCCTGGTTAAGGAGAGGGAAGATACATTCATTCAGGGGGAAGACTGAAAGAAATATTGAGAGAGGAAAAAGAAAAGGAAAGAGCAAATGTGAAGCATGAAAGAGAGAGAATAGGAGAAAGAAAACCCAACAACCCACCTGCGCCCCACTTCTTACTTGAAGGTTCACCAAATCACCCCCAACTCCCCCAACCATTGCCCCTCAGCTCCTTCTCTGACTAAGCATCCCAGTCCCTGCCTCGCATGCCCCTGGTCATCTAACAAACCAGGCCTCCCATTTCCACCCTCCCAATCTGGCCCACCTGCCCCAGTCCCCCTCTTCCCACAGCTAAATTGGCTAATATGTACTCATTCCCATAAATTCTTCCACTAGTCCTTCAGCTGACATGGTACAGGCTAAGTAGAAAGAAATTCAATGGCAGTCCAACAACACAGAACTAACAGAGGTCTTTCCTCCTGTTCCTCTACCTTCCTCCACCAGGGAGTACTTCATAGAGATGTACTATCGGAATGAGACGCAGCATGAACCACATCCCCTCACGCTGCCTGGCTGCACCCCCAGCTGCCCTCTGACAAAGTTTGCTGAGCTGGTTGCCCCTGTGATCCCCCAAGACTGGTCCACAGAGTGTGCCATGAGCAACCATGAAGGTACTGAGGACGCTATGGATTAGGGTGCACACAGAGCTCTGCAGAGAGGGCAGAATACCCTTTCTCCAGACGGTTGGTGCTTTGAGCATATAAACTGGCTTCAACCCCATCTTTGGGGGAAATAGGTTTGGGGCAATAATTGTATGTTTCAGAGACCTCAAGTTCAGGCAACTCCTACCTCTTTATCTGGCCCTGCCCCTACTTGCCATAAACCTTGTCAACCTACATAAACCCAGGAGGCAGTAATGAAGCAGAAAACATTTACTTGGGATCAAAGAATTGCAATTCAAGGAACACGTATCAAACTGGAACAAAATTAGAAATGTAAGAATGGGGGCTTCCCTGGTGGTGCAGTGGTTGGGAGTCCACCTGCCAATGCAGGGGACATGGGTTCAGGCCCTGGCCCAGGAAGATCCCACGTGCTACTGAGCAACTAAGCCCATGCACCACAGCTACTGAACCTGCGCTCTACAGCCCACGTGCCACAACTACTGAGCCCACGTGCCACAACTACTGAAGCCCACTTGCTTAGAGCCCATGCTCCACAACGGGAGAAGCCACAGCAATGAGAAGCCCACACACCATAATGAAGATTAGCCCCGGCTCTCCGCAACTAGAGGAAGCCCGCGCACAGCAATGAAAACCCAAGGCAGACAAAAATAAATTAATAAAATAAATAAATTTTTAAAAAAGAAATGTAAGAATGTTCTATCTCCCAGGAAAAACTTATTGAATATTTAGGAATAAACCTACCTAAGGACACAAAAGACCTGTATGCAGAAAATTATAAGGCACTGATGAAAGAAATTAAAGATGATACAAATAGATGGAGAGATATACCATGTTCTTGGATTGGAAGAATCAACATTGTGAAAATGACTCTACTACCCAAAGCAATCTACAGATTCAATGCAATCCCTATCAAACTACCACTGGCATTTTTCACAGAACTAAAACAAAAGATTTCACAATTTCTATGGAAACACAAAAGACCCCGAATAGCCAAAGCAATCTTGAGAACGAAAAATGGAGCTGGAAGAATCAGGCTCCCTGACTTCAGACTATACTACAAAGCTCCAGTAAACAAGACAGTATGGTACTGGCACAAAAACAGAAATATAGATCAATGGAACAGTATAGAAAGCCCAGAGATAAACCCACGCACATATGGTAACCTTATCTTTGATAAAGGAAGCAAGAATATATAGTGGAGAAAAGATAGCCTCTTCAGTAAGTGGTGCTGGGAAAACTGTACAGGTACATGTAAAAGTATGAAATTAGAACACTCCCTAACACCATACACAAAAGTAAGCTCAAAATTGATTAAAGGCCTAAATGTAAGGCCAAAAACTATCAAACTATTAGAGGAAAACATAGGCAGAACACTCTATGACATAAATCACAGCAAGATCCTTTTTGACTCACCTCCTAGAGAAATGGAAATAAAAACAAAACTAAACAAATGGGACCTAATGAAACTTAAAAGCTTTTGCACAGTGAAAGAAACCATAAATAAGACCAAAGTACAACCCTCAGAATGGGAGAAAATATTTGCAAATGAAGAAACTGACAAAAGATTAATCTCCAAAATTTACAAGCAGCTCATGCAGCTCAATAACAAAAAAACAAACAACCCAATCCAAAAATGGGCAGAAGACCTAAATAGACATTTCTCCAAAGAAGATATACACATGGCCAACAAACACGTGAAAGAATGCTCAACATCATTAATCATTAGAGAAATGCAAATCAAAACTACAATGAGATATCATCTCACACCAGTCAGAATGGCTAGTGGGAAGCAACCACATAGCACAGGGAGATCAGCTCGGTGCTTTGTGACCACCTAGAGGGGTGGTATATAGAGGGTGGGAGAGAGGGAGACGCAAGAGGGAAGAGATATGGGAACATGTATATATGTATAACTGATTCACCTTGTTATAAAGCAGAAACTAACACACCATTGTAAAGCAATTATACTCCAATAAAGATGTTTTAAAAAAAGAAATAAAATATTAAAATAAAAAAACTTATTGGAATGTTGAAAGTGTGGGTGTGATATCTGTTCTGAGGACAAAAGGAATGTATAAGGCTTCCATTCTGGTATCTTCAGAAAACCTAAGCAAACTCACAGGTCCTACTGAAGCCACTCACTATAAACGAAGAAATCATATTCAAATAACCCCCTTTAGAGTCCTGTAGATTTGCCATGTGCAGATGCAACTTGCCTAGAGAACACCATGCTACATTACCAGCAGGAATAAAGATGAAACAGTTTCTAGAGATGATTTCTACTGGATGCCAGAGTCTAGAGCAAAGCCATTCTCTCTCCTAGTTGGTCATGGGATGACTGACATGCGACATCAATTGATGTGTTTGTGTTCTTTCTTTTCCAAGTAAATATTTGGCCTTGGGGCCATCATTTAATTATCATTTCTCCTCCATGCATGTAAGCCAAATGAAAAATAATGAATAAAGTCATTTTAGGAAGTTCAAAAGCACTACTTTTATAATGCTTTTTAAAAAAATGTGTGTGTATGTACTTAGAATTAAATTCCTGAAGGACAGATTTTAGGGGCTATATTTTTATTTGGGGTTTTATTTTAATGTAACAAGAGGGAAAATATTAATGTAAAGTAAAATTACTTTGGTTTAAATGAATGTTCTAAATTAAAAGTATATTTAGTTTGGACTTTGCTACTTCAGATAAAGGCTAAGCTGATGGATGGCTCTGCTTCATCTATTTAAGATGGAACTGGCTAAGAAAGCAACCTCTGGAAATTTACAATGTAGTGGGGAAGTAAAGAGATACATATTACAAGGTATGTCTAATGACTACAGGGGTTGCTATGGGAATAGAGTTACCTGGATTTGGAGGGAAGGAGGAAGCAAGAAGCGTCAGGGAAGGCTTCCTACAAGGGTTGACAGCATATGGAATCAATTTGGAAGGAGGTTTCTTCTAATGGTGTGGTACAAGGTGCTCAAAAGGCCTTTATCAAATGTACTAGTGGCTTGAAGTTGGAAAGGATAGGGGAGTTACTTGGCAGAAGATTCAGGATCCAAAGAGATTTCCACAGGTTTCCTTCAAGGGGCCAATTTTAATGAGATAAAATGTCATCTCCACAGGAGCAAGGATTTTTATTTGTGGTATTCTCTCTTGTATTGGTTCTCAGCACCCAGAAGTGCCTGTGCCTGGCATGGATTAGTGCTCAATAAATATTTGCTCATGATGGTATAAATTAGTTACCTTTCCTCCCTGAACCTACTCTTTCTATCTCGATTAGTAGCAATACCCAGTAACCTGGGAGTTATCTGGTTATCACTCTCTCCTTCATTCTCCACAGCCATCTGTCACCTCTTCTTATCAAATCTACCTGTAGTATGTTTGTAGAATTCTTTTCCTCAAAAGACCAACATCAACAATCCAATGTCCAAGTAGAGTGAAATATAATTAAGCAGAAGAATATATTAATAAAAAGAAAACTTAGGGATTGGTGTGCTGGATCTAGTTCATACAGATCTCAAGTGTAGAAAGTATGTATCACTTCCCAACTCTGAGATCAATGACTTCACTTTGGCAGTTTGAAATTGGTCATGATGTCATATAGGAGTATTTTCACCACAGAAAACAGCATATGCCACAAATTAGAGTTTTGTTTTGGGTTTTTTTTTTAAATCCAGTTTACCAGCACACCACTGGTTTTAGTTCATAGGAAATTTGTAACACAAAGTGGTCTCCAACAAAGTGAATTCAATATTTGAACTTCTTTAAGGAAAAAAGGATTCGATTTGTTCTATATGGTCTCAAAGAGTGATGTGAGAGGTAGCAGGTAAACATTTCAGGAAGACAGATTGTGTTCAATGCTGGGAAATCCCTGGGACCAGATATGTCCATTGGGGTGGATGCTCACTTGCCTTGGCAGAGACTCTACAGAGCAGGCTGAAGAATGGAAGGTGGTAGGGGTTGAATGACTCTTTAGTAGGGCCACCAAATATAGCAAATAAAAGTACAGGATGCCCAGATAAATAGCTCTAACTGCTGAATTTTTATAATTTATTGAAAAAAAGCTGAATTTGAGACACTAACAGTGCCTGAGAAAGCCAGTAGAGGAAGCAGTGCAAAACCATTAACAGGACATATCCTGTATATACAGAATGCCTGACCACCCTACTCCTTAGGGTATTTCCATCCATGAAATTCTCCTTATACCTATGAGCAGTGTTTTCACCTAGTGCTGGTAGGCCCAATTAACTTCATTCTCATATCAATTAAATTAACCAGAGGCTTTGCTGGGAAATTCATAAGTCTAAGTTTCATACTATGTTACTTGAAAATAATAAAATTCTTGTTTTAGAAAATGCTTCTTTAATTCCAAAATTTTACTAACATAGTCAGACTTTCTTCACTTGCATTCTCCCAACCCTACCTCAATCTCCAACTCCAGTTATTTGGTAGGAAAGAGATTTACTCTTAGGAGGTTCCAGTTTCCCCTCATAATCTTTGTAAAGCTGAGAATCTATAGCACATAAACACATGCCCAAGATTTAACCATGAGCTTCTTACAGGCAGGATCCATACTTTTTTCCTCCTTGAATCTTCAGCCAGTAGGCAATGCTGAGAACCTGGTGCCTTTAATCAATATTTGCTAATTGAACAAATGTTCCACCCTCCATACCTAGCCTGATTTCCTCATGGCTGGGCCCGGATGTCAGAAGCCTGGATGTCAGTTGTTCAATAAATGGGGGAGAGAAGCTATGAATGAGCCTTGAATGTAACTGTACTGTAAAGACCCACTCATTGACTATATATCTGTATAGTTATACCACTGTGTCTGTGTCTTTGGCCTCTGTTTCCAGCATAGTCACTTTGGCATTCTCCTGTTCTCCCATTTCTATTTAAAGCCCCTGTTCAATAATATCCCTTCCAGTACCCCTACTTCCTCAGAGATGAGACCATCTGATTACTATACCTTTTTCACATCCTTGTTATTATCATGAATTTCCCAGGAGATGTCTCATCATT